GCTCGTTTTTCAGCTAACGCCACTTTATGTGGCCGTCCTCAAAGGATACGCCAAGGTCGCAAAATGCCTCATTGAACACGGTGGAGATGTGGAGAGCGTGAACAGCGACGGGGTAAAACTTGCTGATAAGGCTTTTGTTACGTAAAATGTGAATGTTTATGTCTCTCTGGATGGAAAACTGTTTGTCATGTCGCTCTGAAGTGGTTGGTGTGTCCTCTGGGTTGGAGATTAGTGGGGTATCTTTGTGGAAAATATAGCGGCGTGCTTTTATGGTCAATGTTGAGTTTTTTTCCGGATTAATTTCGTACGTTTGTTTCAGGATACATTGTTGCATTTTTGCTTGAAGAATGGTCTTGAATATGCAGCTAGATTTTTTATACGGCATAAAGCGGATGTGAACGCTAAAGACAAGAATGGGGTAAGGTACAGGAGGAGACCCGATAGTAATCTCTTAGTTCTCGTTGTGCTCGCAGCATGTGTTTCAGAAAGATATGTTATTTGCTATATTTACGCTGAGATTTAGAAGATTTTCATTTCAGTGGACACCAGTGTACCTAGCAGCTTTGTCTGGCTGCAAAGAAATTGCGGTGAAGATGATAGAATATGGAGGCGACGTTAACAGTGTGAATGAGAAGGGGGTAAAATTTTTTTGCTTTTTTTTTACGGAGAAAGAAAACCTGAGGTCAGTAGATGACTTTTGTTCTAGATAATTTTTATGGATTCCTGTGAAGTAGAATAAGAGGTTGAAAAAGTAGCTGCTGTGAGGCATTTGTTAGTAATTATGAACGTTTATTTTAGGCGACTTTGTTGCACGTTTCTCTGAGGAACGGCCACGATAGCGTTGCGAGGTTTCTGTTAGCAAATGGTGCTGATCTCGAAGCCAAAGATGAGAACGGGGTAGCAAATTCTTGAGTGTTTTTTATAGATTCGTGTTTACTTTTGTAGCCGTATGTTGTGTTATCCTTTAAACATTGTTCTTTCTAAGGACGAAATTTGAGGACTTTGTATTTTTAGTTGACACCACTCTATGTAGCTGCTCTTCATGGAAAATACCAAATTGGAAAGGATATAATTGAAAAGGGAGGTGATGTGAATAGCAGAAACGAGAAGGGGGTAAAAATTTTTAAAAATGATTCCCGACATTAAAAGGCAAGATCTTAGGACTTTCCTGCTCAAGTAAATCCCAATCATCTTTTAAATTCTCTTAGTTGTTGTGAAGCGAAATGGACTATCATTATTGAAAAATTAGTACTGGCAGTTATATCTCAGTAATCATAAACACACATTTGAGGAAACGTTGCTTCATACTTCTCTGAAGAATGGTCACGATGCTGTGGCGAAATTCTTGATGGAAAACAGAGCGGATGTCGACGCGAAAGAAGAGAGCTCGGTAATTGTTACTAAAAGTTTACTAAAGTTTTCTGTGATGTCGGAACGTTTTTCTGCCCTGAATTTAAAAAGTGCAGGTGATGTGCTTTGCTGCCTGATACTCAAATGATCTGTTCCAGTTTATTCGGCTGTATATCGCAGTTTTGAAAGGACAGGAAGAAGTCAAAAAGTACTTACGCGTAAATGGAGGTAACGTGGATGTGAGGAAGGATGATGAGGTAATTTTTAAGCCTTGTTATAATGGAAAAGGCAACGGAATTTTCTGTTGAATGAAGTGATAAGAGCTTCATTGGCATTACAATAGAATGAGAGTGAAGCTTTGGAACTGTACCCTGCAGTCAAGGAATGTTGTTGAAAAGCGCAGTAATTCTAGGAATCTTTGTTACACGTTTCATCAAGGAACGGAAACGACACTGTTACAACTCTGCTAGTAGAAAATGGAGCAGACGTCAATGCCAGAGAGGAAAACGGGGTAAGATGCGACAGAAAAGTTGTTACAGATCTTCTTGGCACTAATTCTCTTTCGTTCGTCTCCAAAGTCTTTATGCCGACTTATAAGCGATACCGTCAGATAACGGAAAAACCACAATCACTATGGCCACCTTTATGTGACACCTAATTTTCGTTTCATTTTAGTTTACACCGTTCTATATCGCAGCTCTGTATGGGCACAATGAAATTGGAAAAAAATTGGTCGAAGAAGGGGGTAACGTGAACGTGAGAAATAGCAACAGGGTAAAGATTTATAGAGATCCGTTTATGCTCAGGAAAGTAAAAGATAGGATGTTTTGCGCGAAATCTGGGCAGTCATTGTTATAAAAATTCTACGACTTGTAGGATACAGAAGCTTATTAAAGAGCAGTATTTTAGTGAACATTTAACGTGAATTGTGAGTTTCTATTTAAGGAGACGTTGCTGCATCTATCAGCAAAGAATGGACACTATGATGTCGCAGCATTTTTAATAGAGAATGAGGCGGATGTTAACGCCAAAGATAAGAACGGGGTAAGGCGATGCTAGGAGTTTGCTAAATTTCTTGTTACTCTCAGTAGAATTGTCTCGTTACATTTGTAAGTCAAAAGTTTTCCAGGCAAACTGATTGTTTTTCCAAAATTTTTCTACATTGGTTGAAACTGATTTACTCATAAAATGTACACGAATATGTCGAAAACAATACGGTTCTATTTTTTCAAAGAAGGTTTTTTTATCTCTGTAACATTTTGCTCACGCTCTGTCATGGCAGCATCAGACCTTTAGCTGTTCTATTTCAGTTTACACCATTATACATTGCAGTTCAAAAGGGGCATAAGGAGATTGCAGAGTATTTAATTAAGAAAGGGGGTTGCGTGAATACGGCAAACGATAATGGGGTAACAATTTGTGTTTGATTCTACTGGCAAAAGCATGAAAAGCGACATATTTTGTAATGTAACTAGTCTGATAAAAATATTGCTGCACGTTACAGTATAAGCAGAATAATTCATGATATGTTAAGCTGATTTGCCGTTAAATGTTGCTGATGATTGTAAGAGGTAATTCCAGGAGACGTTGCTACACTTGTCTTCAAAGACTGGCTACAACGCTGTTACGAAGTTCTTGGTAGAACGTGGGGCGAATATCAACGCCAAAGATAAAAATGGGGTAAAGTGTTGCACTAGAAATTCGTTAAACTTTTAGATACTGACAACAGATACTGATTTTTTTTGATACTGATTCCACCATAGTCATAAGTTAAGGATCTGTTTAACAAATGGATTATTTCTTGACTGTTTTATCTCATTTTTATGAAGTCATCTTGATTTGTTGGGGCATGAGAAATTTATTTGTGAAAGAACTCTTTTTTTTTTGAACTGTGAGGAGAATTATACTTTGGCTGTTAGTGGTCAAGCAATTGTTTCTGCTTTTTAAGACATTGGGTAAGCTAAACAAAAAAAAGTTTGCATAAGGGCCATATCTAAAGTATTTTCATTTTCTCTTTAGTGGATGGCATTGCATTTTGCGTCAAGGTATGGACAGGTCGAGACTGTAAAGTTTTTGTTGGATGAAAAAGCTGAGTTGAATGCCAAGCTGGACGGCGGGGTAAAGTTTCCTTAAAAAGATAAAAATGGATTTTGTGTGGAAGCTAATTTTGCAGATTACCTAAGTTCAAAAACTTGTTAAAAATACGCCAGAATAAACTAGTTTTCCGGAATATATTTCTTACATATTACATCAGTAGTTAAATTTTTAAATACTGGACATTATTTGTGATTAATATGCAGTAAAATTCTTAATTTTGTGAAAAAAAAAGAAAAAGTTATTTAAATTTTGTATGGTTTTATATTTCCTTTGTTGTGATACAGTGACAGACAAGTTGTGCAGAAAAAATAACAAAATTCGTGAACTAAACTGTTTTTGTTCTTGGAAAAGACATCAGTTGAAGGTTTATACAAAAAACAAGATCCTACTTAACCTTGAGAAGTTTTGAGTGTAAAACAGCAAAAAAATGATTTGTATCTACGTTCTCAACAAATCATTCTCCTTCTCTACTTCAGTGGACAGCACTTCATCTTGCAAGCAGGTATAGTCATATCGAGGTCATCAAGTATTTAGTGGACAGAGGAGCCAATCTGAATGCAAAACAGAGTGGCGGGGTAAAATTACTGGAAAGTTTATATAGATGTAATACATAAGAAAGTTATTTTTTCTGTAGAATTCACACTTATTGTCTAGCTAGGTGTTCTTTTTTTGTTTTTGAAACAAGGAAATTAACAACAGTAATATAGCAGTCCTTAGCCGTTTTTTTGCTATGTTATTTGCATAATGAAGAAAATTTCTGAGGAACAGTCAAACTACAAAAAAATTTTAACGATCTGTCATAAATTTTCTCTTAGCGTACAATTTTCTGCAATTTACAGACGGAGTTTTTTTTCTGAGAACAAAAATTCTTATTTATTTATTTATTTTATTTTTATTTTTTTTTTTTGGACATTATTAGATGGTTTTCTGAACATTTCACTTTCTGTACTGTTCTTTTGAAGCAGAAAATTTTTTATTACATACGAGAAATGAAACTGCTGTGTTTTGATCTGTTCTAAACAAGTTTAATTTGGAGAACATTCAGAGCAGTAAGTGTTTGAAAAGCTGGAAAGAAAATCTCTTTTCAAACTTTTTTATACACTCAAAACAATTGCTTTTAATGAGAATTCAAAACTTTCTTTTTTCTTTTTGTTTTTTCATAACAACTTACACTTTTTAAAGCTAATTGTGATAATTGAGGTAAGGTAAAAATAAAAATTCAGACTAAGGGCAGAAATAAGTTTATAGTAAATAGCGACGCATCTGTAAGCGTTAGGAAAAAACAGTGCTCAGCTTAAAGAAAGAAGGTGAAAAAATGTGTTTGAAGTATTTTAGGAAATGTTAAATATTCAAAATAAAAAAAAATTGTTTTTTTAGCTCTCTTCATTTTCTTTTTTGCAGAAAATTTGGTTTTCTATGTTTTAGTATACAGCACTACTTCTGGCATCAAAATATGCTCCATTTGAAGCTGTAAAATATCTGGTCGATAAAGGTGCTGACTTGAATGTACAGAACGATGAAATGGTAAAATTTTGATAGTGATTCAGATAGATCATAGAAGAATACTGTATTTTTGGTACAGTATTAGAAATTTATCTTTATCAAGGTATGCTTTTTCAAATTAAAGTATTAAGCCAATACACGATAAAATAGAGATGGTCACAAGTTCATTTCAAGTTTGTTTCATCTTCATCTGCTGATAAATTAATCGAGAATTTCTTCCTTCAAATGAGATATATTTAAGGTGTATAATACAAAAATTTGAACAAATAACTTGTAATTGATCTGTCAACATAAAAAGTTTTCGCATTTTTTTCAATGAAGAAAATTTTGAAACCTAAAAATATATGAAACTGTTTGTTTACTGTATTTTATGGTGCATCTCCTTTTTTGGTGTCATAATTCTGTCAATTTTTTTATTCTGATTATAATTACTCATGGAGAAAAAGTAATGTTTAAGCTACAATTCTTATGACATTTTTCACTTTGTTTTGTCGGCAAATTCTTTCTTCCTTTTTTTTTTCTTGTTGAGCTACATGTCAACAAAAACTTTTTTTTTTGGAATTTTGCTTCTTTACTTTAGTGGACAGCATTACACCTGGCTACAAGGTACAGCACACTGAAAGTTGTAAATTTCTTGGTGAAACAGAAGGTTAACCTGAACGCAAAGAAAGTGGATGGGGTAACTGTTTTGTGTTGAAACAGTATGATAAGCGTTGTCAGTCAAAAGACTATCTTTTTGCAATAAACTTTATACTTTGAAAAATAAAGAAAAACTTTTATATGAACAAAAAATATGCAAAATAAGATTTTAGTCAACCTTTATTTCTTTGTTTTTTTTTTTTATTAACTGTTTTTCACTTGGCCGCTTACAGGTGTGAAATAAAAACTTTCTTAGATGTAAGTAATACTATTGGAAAGTTCAAATGTAAATTCAAATTTTGCAATCTTCTCAGCTTCTCAAAAACTTACATTTTTAAGTTTTTTAGGTTCTTTACCTGTTTGGATTTATAGCATAGAATATTTCTTTTTACATATCACACACAATACACTATTTACTGTGTTTTACAGAAAAAAACCTCATTTTTTCTCTTTTTTGATATAAAGTTGTAATAAAATTGATTGGTTCAACAGACATTCGTTACCTTTATGCTTTAAAAATTTTTTATTTTGAATCTGAAGATTAGAATTTAGATTTTTTTTTTCAATTATTTTTTAGCTTATTTTCACATGTTTTCGTCTGTGCCCGTTTCAAATCAAATATATAATTTGGTGAATTACTTACAGCAAATTTTTTCTTATCACTAATCAAAATTTATCTGATTACTGCAATAATAGCCAGAAAAAAAAACACTGTGCTTCTAAAAAATGACTAATTAACAGGAACTGTCGTCTGTGTGACAGGAACTGTCGTCTATTTTTTTCCTTCTTTTAAGATGTTTATGCCGTCTATTTTAGGATACGGCGTTGCATCTTGCATCAAGAAATGGACATTTTGGCGCTGTTAAATGTTTGGTGAACAATGGGGCTGATCTGAATGCAACGAATAATGAAAAGGTAAAGTTGCGATAGCGACGTTGAAATGTGTTTTGAAAAAATTTTCAATTGTTTGTTAAACTTATTGCTTCTCTTTTTTAGTTTCATTTTGGTTTTCGCTTATTTTGCTAATACATCATTAATTGTAACTGATCATTGTACAACCTGTTTATTTTTTTCCCCACATTAGATTCCTCAATCTTTTTGGAAAGAAGTTAGTAGTTTATAGTCACTTTTTTTTAGAATGTCGTTTTATCTAGTGTTAAAATTTTTGAGCTACAATTTGTGCGAAAATCAGTGAAATATCTGTTGTATCTGCTTTGCAAAATTCAAAATAATTTTCTTCGTTTACATTTGATGCAAATAATGAAATTTGATTCTGAACAATATTTGAAAGAATAATCACTGCTTTATCTCTTTTTATTCATCTCTCTGTCTTTTACAGTTTGACCACCGGAGATAAGTGCAAAAAAGATGCAGAAGTAGAAGTAAACCAAAAATATTGGAAACTTTCTAATCGGAAAAATTTTTTCCATATATTTGCTTAAGAGGATTTCAAAAAAAACTTTCTTTTTTACTGAACCGGCTTTGGATTTAAAAAAAAATTTGATGCATATCTGGTGTCGAATTGACTATTATTTCCTTTCCTTTTCGACTGCTAGAAATAGAAAATAAAGAAACATAAACTTTTAGGTGGGAAAATGAGAAAGAAAAAAAAGTGTTTCAAAATACAAGACTTTTTAGGCTTTTTGGAAAACAATTATTTGGTAGTATCTGTGCTATCAAAAACTGTTTACAGCTTTTGAATGTTGCTGACCGTGAAAAAGTAAAAAGTAATTTTGCGATTCTTTTACATTTTACTAAAAAAAATTGTTTTGTACACTTTAGTGGACGGCATTACACTTTGCAACAAGGGAGGGTGAAGTGGAAATCTTGAAATATCTGGTCAATAAAGGAGCTGATCTTGATGCAAGAAACAATCGAGAGGTAAACTTTTCTGAAACGGAAAAAACCGTAATTTATAAAGGAATCAAAAAAATTAATTTCTAGTTCTCAATCATTTTTTTTTATTGTTCTATAAAATTTGGCTTTCACGTTTATCAAAACTTATGGGCAAATAAAATTCTATTTTTTTTGCAACTTTTATACCAAGCAAAAAAAACTTTCAAATCTCTTTTCAAGTTTTGTTGGCTAATCATACTTTAAAATCTGGTTTGCTGAATGTGTTACCACAGTTCTAATAGTTCTTTCTGCAAATTTTGTTTTGTCTAGAATCGTGAAAATTAATCAATGTGCTTAAAAATTTAAAGTACTCTATTGTTCAAGAAATCCTGGCAGAATTTTGACTATCTATTTTTGTTCTTAGAAACCATTAGCTTTTTTTTGTCATTAAAAAAAAAGAGTAAAAATAAAAAAATATTTGTCAAAGCTTTTTTATAGTTTCCAAAAACTGTCGGAAGTGTTCAGTGATAACTTTTTTTTTCAACTTTAGTGGACAGCTCTGCACATAGCATCACGATACGGTATACTTGAAGCTGTAAAATTTCTGGTGCGTATGGGCGCCGACTTAAGTGCAAAGCAAGACAACGGGGTAAAAATTTTCTTGAAATGCTATGATAACGATATAATAGAGAAATTGCTTTAACAGAATACAACATTTCATATTTATCACAGTAAAAAAAAAATTTTTTTTTTT